ACACACACAGGCACACACACACATACTTTGTCTCTGTCTCAGCTGTGGGAATATGTCAGCCTCAGTCTGACTTCTAAATCTGCCTCCTCTCAGGTTCGGTCAGGAACCATAAAGCCCTAGAGACACTGTATGTGACATACACATAAAGCCTGACTGCAGTGCACACTCACAGAAACACTCTGTACATCTCACACGCAATTATATTTATTCACAAGCTCCACTCAGAGGTGTTAAAATGGGTTTCTCTTAAAGAAACATGCACATAGTTAAGACATTACAGGAATATTGATTACACACAGTAGTAGTATGGTCACGTGCCGCTGTGTGTGTGTGTGTGTGTGTGTGTGTGTATGTGTCAGGCTGTTTAGCATTTAGTGGGCGTGGGAGGCCTCGCTGTAGAAATGTGCTTAATAAGCACACACTGGCAACTAGCATTTAAAAACACACACCATTAACAGTTTGTTTACCCTCTGTTGTTTATTTATTCATCTATCAAATATGCATAATAATAGCAAAGTCCATGTTTTTAATTTAGGATTTTAATACTTTAAACTGAAAAATGACATAAATCAGCTTTATATTACGGTCTGCATATTTAATGTCATGTTAGAAAAGGGAGTCATTCTGTTCCCTTAAAATAAAGCCAGCACAAAATCTGTGGGGCCCATTTTGTTACATAAGACTTAATAAAGCTAAACTTTTCATATTGTCCCTCTGCAACAGATGTGATCAGATGTGATTGCATAAAGTGAACTTGACACCTTGACTCATTATCTGAGTAACCGCATGAGCTTCACTTAACATTGTATCTGGCAAAGTAATCCCGGCCTGTAATGTGATGGGAAAAGTGGAAAACTTTTATATTGTCAATAAGCACAATGGTGCAGTCTGAGAACGTACTGTGACCTGACTGCCAGGCCGTGAGCCTTAAAGGCATAGTTCAACATTTTTAGAAATACACTTATTTGCTTTCTTTGGGCGAATGAAATGAGAAGATCAGTATTCATTTTGTGCCTGTGTGTGTGGTGTTGAGCTGGAGTCAGGATGTACAGTAGTTCGCCTAGATTGGCAGAAAGACTAGAAGCAGAGGGAAGGCGCTTTTGTAACATGGCTTTGTCCGAAGTGGGGGAAAAAGTCTACGAACATTTCTGCCGTTCACTTATTAACACCTTGTATCTCATTAGTTTGATCCATTGTAAAAAATGACTATTTGTGTTTTCAGCAGAGGTTTTTGTTTGAACTATTTATTGGTAAACAACTCGGCACATTTTCATTAATGTACCCCCTTTGAAATATTTTTTTAAGCCAAGTATCCCCTGACGATCTCAAAACATATTTGGTCGAGGAAAAAACCTATATAAAGAGTTACAACACAGCACGGGCCAATCTGTGTCTAATTTATTAATAAAAACACTTAAATGCTTAATTTCATGATTGTGGTTGTTTTAAGAGATGTTAACAAACCTTTTATACTCGTGCTACAATTTTGTGGCCTGTGCTACAAAACTTTCCACCGTGTTGCACCAGCAGTACGTGCAACTTAAATTCACCTACAGCCCAGAATGAATGAATGCACGAGAATGAAGCACGGAAGCAGGCGAATGCTAGCTGATGTAAACATGGATACACGTTTCAAAATGTTGACAAAATCAGCTTTTGCTGATATTTTATGAGGTTGGAAATTCATTCAATACATTTGTTAGATCTTAAGGTGCCGGAGAGAAATGCTGGATGTAAACTTGGTTTTCACAAGAAAAATCCACAGGGCACCTTTAATGTTCACCGGCCTGTACTTCTGAGAGAAACATACAGACCAAACTCAATATTAAAGCCTAAGAGGTCATTCTTAAATTTGCACATCACATTGCACATTTACACATTAACTATG